GTAGGCACATCCTAGAAGCCTCCAGGCGCTAACTGCAAGGCTTTAGTATTGCACGGTCCCCCCCCTGAGAGGGGGGACCAGATGGACGTGTCGCCCCGCGCCTTGTCAGCTCAAATTGCAGAGCTGCAAACTCGCGTCTCTCGCTTGGAGGCTCAGAATACTGCCCTGCAGGCTCAGCTTCAGCCTCTCCTTGAAGCCGAGCGTCGAGCTGCCTCAGCCTTTCAGCCTCGTCAGCAGAATCCGGCGCAAACTTTCGATTTGCTGCGTCACCGGCTGCTGCATTTTGAAGGTTGCTTTCAATTCTTGGTGCAGGCTTTGTCGCAACGGTTTCCGGGAACTCGCTGGCAGTCTCTTGAGGAAACATAGATAACCATGGCTGCTTTTAACATGGAGCAACGGCAGCTGCGCTTGCAATCCCGTAGCAACCCCGCTACGGAACCATATCCATTGGATGTGCCGGTGCCGTTTCCGCCACAGCCTGAGTTGTCAGCCTCAGATCTTCATGAGGGAGGGGAGACAGCTGAGGCTTCGGATCCTGCAAGGGTTCATGTGAATGCATCGATGAGGTCCCCTTCCCTAGAGCCTCAATTTGACGGGGAAAGTTTGGGTCGGTCTTCTGAAGGGGCTCCAGCCGAGCCGCCATTAGAAGACGATGCTAGAAGTGTTTGCTTGGAGCCGCTTGAGGCGGCCGCTGCAGCTTTCAGGGGCGAAATCGCAATCCCTTGGGGTTTAGGTGGTGCACCCTCCCCCGCCCCGAACGATCTGGAGTCTGAAGACAATCCCTTGACAGATCTGTTTGATTCCGAGTCGCATTGGTGGGACCAGGTGAGGGACCGGAACCCTGCATCAGCTTCCATGCCTGCGCCAGATCCTCTCGCCGGCCGCAGGGTCGATTTTGCATCTGCTCTTAGGAGTGCTTACCAGGTTCCATTGGCCACGGCTGAGCCCGAAGGCTTCGCTCAACCATGGGACGAGGGGGTCTTCGGGGTCATCTTTGGGGATAAGGACTTTTTGGATTTTCCTGTTGCAAAGCTGGGCCCTACGTTTTTACCAGGGGAAGGAAGCCAGTCGTCTGAGGTCGTGGAACTGCCATCCAAGCGCCTCAAGGTTGGGCATAAGGATGTTTCCTACTCCCGAGTGGTCAAATCTAGAGCGGCTGTGGACTGGAAGCAGCAGAGGAGTGCCCAGCTTGAAATAGGACTGCAGACCTGGCTTGAGCTGGTGTTGAAGTGGGGACCTTGTGTGCTCACTTCCCATGTCGAGGCTTGCACGAGCAGATGTGATCAGATGGAAGTGATAGGAGACATTCTAAAGGGAAAGGCTCCCTCAACCATTCTGAAGCGAGCCAGGGCCCTCATCTTGTTGCAGGATTTTCTGAAAGAAAGGGACTCGGTCTTCCCTTGCACGGAAGAGGAGGTATACCAATTCCTGAAAGTTCTTGAGAGGGACAAGGCTCCGAAGAGTCGAATAGCTTCGGTGATGGAGGCGTTGAATTTCACACTTCATGTGGTCGGCGTATCAGAGCTACAAGGGGTCTGTCAGAGCAGGCGATGCAAAGGCCTGTGCATCACGGAGTGCTTCACTGAGGCACGACAGGCCCCTCCGCTAACAGTGGACCAGTTATTGCAGTTACATTCTGCTCTGGAGGGGCATGCAGATCCTTGGACCCGCCTCTTCGCAGGGGCAGCTCTGGTTTGTGCATATGCAAGGTGCAGGTGGAGCGATGTGCAGCATACCGAGACAGTCATGTGGGACTTGAATGCTGATTCCGAGCTTGCGTATATAGAGCTGAGAATCGGTTTGCATAAGACGTGTAGGCTGCAGAGTAGGCGCCACAGATTTTTGCATGCAGTGGCTCCCGCACTGGGCATCCGACCCTATGGTCATCTCTGGAAGCAGTGCCGCGAACAGTTTGGGGGTGGAGGTTAGTGGTTCATGCCCCTTCATGCCGGCGCCTGATGCTCAGGGGCAGCCAACAATCCGTGCCTTGGATTCAGATGAGGCTACAGCTTGGTTGAGGATGTTGTTTGGTCAGACGAAAGTCTGTGGTGACACATCGTCGAAATCCTTGAAAGCCACCGTCATCTCGTGGGCGGCCAAGAGAGGGGTAGAGCCCCTGTCTTTGCAGAGGCTCGGCTACCATGCATCAGGTGGGATGGACATAGTGTACAGTCGGGATGCCCAGGCCCCACTCGTGATGTTAGTTGAGCGTTTGCTGAGAGAGGTCGCGGAAGGATCGTTCAGGCCAGATGATACCAGGAGCGGCCGCATTGTTGCTGCAGGTGCCGTGCCCCTTGTGCAGCCGGTTCAACCGGTGGGCTCGGAGCTGGTTGAGAGTCTAACTACCTCCTCAGGTGTTGCCTCCCAGGCTCGGTTACCTTGCAAGGAAGAGCAGATGCCAGGCTCGAAGAGTGATACAGAGGCGCTGCAAGTTGACAGTGACTCCGAAGGATTTGCTTCCGAGGGTGAGTCGATGGAATCCTCGGACGAAGATGAAGGCCAGCCGATTGCGCTGGTGGCCCAGGGCCACCTTGTGCCACCAGGCTTTGATGTTTGGAGGCACCACTCTTCGGGTGTAGCTCATCTTGCGCCGAGGGTGCATTTCAAGAACTTGTTTGCTTGCGGGCGGAAAGTAGGCTCCAAGCATTTTAAGTCTGCAGCCGCGTCATTAGGTGCGGATGATTTTCCATGTAAATTTTGCTTTCGCAGATAGACTCGCAACTTGTGGAGCAGGGCAAAATAAGGTGACGTCGACTCATGGGACGGAGATCCTATTCCCGTGCGACAATTCAGGAGGTGCTCCTCCTTGAGTTCGCCGGTGAGTGATCGCCCGCATGCTGATCGTTGACTGTGAGTCATGCCCTGCAAGTCCTGTCGATCTGTGCAGTGAGCGATTGATCGACATGGGAGTGCATGATGGCCTACCTCGTTCCTTCTTCGGGAAGTGAGAGGTGGGGCCGAGCCAACCTTGTTTCCTGTGTGAGGTTTGGCTCGTCGTTCGGCAAAGCATACCTAGTGATCATTTGGACACTTCATGGGAGATCACTTGAACATCTTTTTGTTAGGGCTGCCTGGACATGGACATATACTTGAGACGTGCATAAGTTCTTCATAACTGCCAGTTGTAGGACGTGCGTTTGCACCATGGCGTTGATCACATCGGAAGCTGCCTTTTTGCAAAGATGCACCGAGGTGTCTCCAGATGGTTCGTTGCACGCGGCATTGCTCGGCCAGGGCATTAAGAACTTCCGACAACTAGCCTTTTCGATAGGAACACCTCGTGTGGAGCCGTCGGCTGCTCAGTATCTCGAATTGGCGACCCAGATTTTTGGCGCAAGCCCTTCGTTGGGAAACGTGGCAATGTTGCGTGACTTACATTTTGAATCAACGACCTACGTGATACAGGTGTTCAAAGAGCAAGCCACATCGGAAGGCACAGACACGCAGGTGAAGAGATTGCCCATGCCAGAGCGCGCGGCGAGGGCAGCAGAGCAGCAACATCGTTTGTGCGGTGTGTCGATTTCAGGGGAGCTGCAGCCTTCTTACAGCCTCATCGACAAATGCAATACCATGTATGAATCAGGAGCCCTCGTTTGGCTAGCACCTTCCGTTTGCAGCAAGAGGGATGCCGAGGTGTCCCTAGGTGTCAACGAGAAATCTTCTGTTGTTCACTTGGAAAAGGATTCGCTGAAGCTCGCGGCCCCCGCGCAGAAGATTCCAGTTGACCTATCGAGTCCGCTGTGCCTGCAGTGGGCGTGGCAGAGAAGAGGCATTGCCTTGGATCAGTGCAGTCTGCTCACATGGAAAGTTCATGAAGCATATGTTCATCGTTTGTTGAACTTTTTGACTGCGCCTGTCCCAGCGGGGTGGACGCAAGTGAAGCCTGAGCAGCTTATTCGTGCTGATAAGGAGGTTTGGACTTTGTTGGCCAGGGAGGTTCCTCCTCCCTACAAGACGCTAGCTGACGGCACTAAACCTTTGGATCAACCTTTCAAGGCGATGGCTTTCGATCAACGCATCCAGGTGTGGCTGTCCCCAGTTCTGAATACTGGGGGAACGACTGGGGGCTCAGGCTCCTCGGCCGATGCGGCCATGCCCGAGATTCCGCCTCATGTGCCGAGGCCACCCAGGAAGCCGAAACTCCGAAAGAAAGCCAGCAAGCTGATGCCAGATGCTTTTAAGAAGTGTCCTCGTTTCGCCAAGGGCCCAACATGTTGGGCATTCAATGGCGAGGGCTGCTCAGCAGAGACTAAGGTCGTGGATGGTTTGCCCCGTTGTGCCAAAGGATTCCACGTGTGCATTCAGTGCCATAAGCCAAACCACAGCTTCAGTACTTGCAGGGCAAAGCCCAAGTCGTGACTATCTGAAGGTCTCTCGTCAGTGGATCCGGGCCCCGAGCCTGCGCCTACTGACCCAGCGACCGTTGCAGGATCTCTTGATGCCTCTTTGACGAAGAGGAAGTCGTCGAATTTGTCAGTTGTCGATGAACTGGTTGCATCTTTACAAAACAAATCTCTGCAAAGGTGCGACATCCTTGAGTTATTTGATGCCCTGCCCAAGTCGCCTTCTCCTCGACAGTCTGAAGGACGGGGCGAGGCCTTTTCAGCTGGAAGCTTGGTGCATGGGGGAGTCGTGGGACTCCACAACAACACCAGTGTTTTCGACGGTGCCGTAAAGTTGATATGTAAGTTCTTACGTGGATTGATGAGCGGTGCGCCCTTCACTTCGTTCACAATCTTGGACCAGTGCATGAGCAGCTTGCATGTTGACTCAAACAATGAGCCTGAAAGTTGGAACCTGGTAGTGCCCCTCTCCAGGTTCAGTGGGGGTAACATTTGGTATGAATGTGAGCAAGGCCACGAACCCTGCCCATCCGATCCGAGCTTGAGTGGAAAGGTCTTGCGCTTGGAACTGGGGCCTCAGTGGTTGTCGGCCACGAGGCACAAGCATTGTACCTTGCCATGGACTGGGCGAAGGTGCGTCCTGGTGGCCTTTTGCACTAGGTTCTGTGATCACCTGAGGCCTTCTGAAGTTTGTACTTTGCGGGATTTGGGTTTTAACTTAGGCTCCTGCATCTCAACAGGTGAAGCCCCGCCTCTCGGAACTCCACCCGCAAACCCAAAGCTTCAGGATATGCTAGTGGTTGAGCTTTGTTGCGGCTCCGCTGGCATCAGTAAGGAGTGCAGCGAGTCAGGATTCCAGACATTGGCTCTGGATGTGAGGCCCCCTGCAGCAGCAGCTGTGCGAGTGCTTAAATTTGACCTCCTTCAGCCTGATGCAGTCGGTAGCCTAGCACAGATGCTCTGCCTTGAAGCCGATCGCATTGCTTTGGTGTGGGCTCGGGTTCCCTCGAGCACTACAAATCGAATCAAGGAAAAACCACTGTCACGTGCTGCCAAAGCCGTGTTTCCTGCCCCAAAGCCTCTTAGGACGCTGGAATTTCCAGATGGGTTGCCGGGTTTGAGAGGGATCGATAAGGGAAAGCTTGAGACTGCCAATTTGGTCTTTGAATCTGTTTGCGATCTTCTTACTAAAGCTTCAAAGCAAGGAATCAGGTGTGTCATCGAGAACCCAACACACTCTGTCTTCTGGGCCACTTCGTGGTTCCGCTCGCTTGAAGTTTTGAGTCCTCAATCGCATTGGATTTCATTCCCTTTGTGTGCTCACGGTGGAGACCGACCGCGCCAGGTTTCCCTTTGGGCATCCTCAGATTTTCTCTCGCCCTTAACAGCCTCTTGCCCGGGGGAGTCGGCTCAGCACTGCCACTCAGCATGGAAGCCTGGTTTTCAGCAAGGCAAGTCGTCCTCATCTCCATATCAGGCTTATCCAGCTCTCTTGTGCCAGAGGATCGCGGGCTTGCTCAGGCAGGCTGTCCTGAAAGCCGGCGCCATTGATGATACATCCTTGCCTGCGGCCGTACAAAGACAGGAACTTTCAACTGCTAGGATGGTCCTTGGCCTTCAACCTCGCAAGGCTCCGCGTCTCCTGCCTGAGTTTGGCTACTTTGTGCATGTCATTCAACCCGTTGAGGCGGTGCGGCCACTTCAGGATGCCCCGCCAAAAGGGCACCTTTTATCTCGGCATCTCTCTACGTGGGGGGAGGTGCAGGCCGAGAAAAGGGTGCCGAGTGTAGGTGTGCATTGCAAGGTGCTTGATCCTCAGCCTCATACGAAAGTTGAGGTCTTCAGGTTTGGGATACCATTGCCTCCCGAAAAGTTTCTGCAAAGAGCTGTCGAAGTAGGACACCCGCACTCCTTTGCTTCCAGCTTGGAACCTTCCTTGAAAGAAGTTGTAGATGAAAACATTTCGGGTGATGAAGTAGTCTTGTCAAAAAGAAGATTGAAATTTGTAGCAAAATGGACGGCCAGAGCGAAGGAGCTGGAGGCCCGTGAAACCGAGCTGCATCAGTCTCTCCCGGAGCATGTCAGAAAAATTTTGAAGGGGAAGCGGCTGCTTCTCTGGAAAGAGATGATTGAAGAGTATGACCTTCCGGATAAAGGCTTGATTGATGACATGATGGCAGGTTTTCCCCTTTGCGGTTGGCTGCCAAAGAGCTCTGCATTTCCTTCTCAGGTCCGCAGGCCAGAGTTTTCTGTTGACACGTTGAAGCACCTTGCCGATGGTCTGAACAAGGCCACTCGCGAAAAGATGGCTCAACGACAGAGCCCAGAGCTTGAGCAGGCAACGTGGAACGAAACTCTGGCTGAGTTGCAGAGCGAATGGATTTGGCAGGCACCTGACGACGAAGAGGGTGTAAAAGTCTACGCTAGAAGATTCGGATTGGATCAACACGGCAAGATCCGAGTGATAGATGACTGCAGTTGCTGTGGCTTGAATGCCACGGTAGGAGTGGTCGAGAGGTTCGTCGCGCACGCCATCGACAGAATGGCGTCAATGCTTGCCTATGCCTTGCAGGTTTCCAAGGATGCCAGCACGTCGTTGTGTGGACGAACGTACGACCTAAAGTCGGCTTATAAGCAGTTTCCTGTTTCTTGCAAAGACAGAGATTTGCTTCGCATGTGGGTCAACTGCCCGCACCGCGACTCTCCGGTGTCAGTAGGGGTGAACTCTCTCCCGTTCGGAGCTATAGGATCCGTCGCTGCCTTTCTCAGAATCAGCAACTCCTTATGGATGATTGGTACCATAGCTCTTCGAGTGCTTTGGACCGCATATTTTGATGATTACAGCGTGGTTTCAAAAGTTCACCTTAAGAAAAACACCGCCTTCGCCGTTGAATCCCTTTTCAGGTTGTTAGGCCTGACGTACGCTAGGGAAGGAAAGAAGGCTCCCGAGTTTGCACCCGTCTTCAGCATGCTAGGGCTTGTTGTTGATGTGAGTCAGTTCGAGCAACATCGCGTGAGCATCGGACACACGGACAAGCGTGTGTCAGAGCTGCATGAATCTCTTGACCAAGTGTTGACCGATCGTTGCCTAAGTGCCAAACTTTCAGAACGGTTGAGAGGTCGGATGAACTTCTTCGAAGGCTTTTGCTTCGGACGTGGGCCAAACCAGGCCATGAGAGCCTTAGATCGTGCTGCGAGATCAGGGTCTTTGCGACACAGCCTTTCTGATAGTGCTGTGAAGGCAATAGGCGTGTTGAAGGCCAGACTTGACTCAGCTGTGCCCATAGTCCTTAGCCCAAAATCAGGTAGCACCTGGTTCTTGTTCACGGATGGCGCTTTTGAGAGCGGCTCAGGCAGTGTGGGAGCCATCCTGTACAATGACGTAGGCTGTGCTGTGGGAGCTTTTGGCTCCGCCGTTCCCCAGACTCTCTTGAATAGGCTGCTAGCTTATTCCAAGAACCCTATTTACGAACTTGAGCTGCTTCCTGTGCTGTTGTCTTTCCGAGCATGGGGCCAC